AAAAAAAAAAAAAGGTAATGTATTACTATAGAAATCCAACAAAAACAGGAAAAGGAATAAAGTAAATCACCATAAGGCCACCACTGACAGACTACTAATATTTTAGTATGATAACTTTCCAGTTGTCATTTACTTAGCTATTTACTTCCTCTTAAAAAAAAAAAAAATCTAAAACAACACATGTTTGCGGCCGTCACGATAATGGCACACAAATAGAAGCACTGTTTGTAAGGCTGGAAGCCAGGGTTCAATTCACAGGCCAATGTAAATATGCCAGGTATGGCTGTGTATGCCTGTAATTCTAGCTAGTTGGAAAGCTTGGTGGGACAGGAAGATCAAGGCAGTCAGACTCTTTCAAAAAAATGCTCTGTCTCCTTCCTTTTCCCTCATAAAGGAGAAAAAAAAAGAACCCACGTAGGAAGGTTCCAGGCTCACATCTGAAGACCTCCATGAATATAACAGGCACACAAGTGCCTACGATCTGGGGATAGTTGAGGCTGAGGGTGGATCATGGGACGAAGACCCTATCCAGGGTGCTATCTCTGGTGCTGTCTCTGTCTTTCTCTCTCTGGGGTGCTGTATCTGTCTTTCTCTCTCATCAAAATAAACTAAAAAGAAAACATATTTGAAGCACATCATATGTACAAGTTATAATTATCTTGGTTATTTTCTATTTTTTTTTAAGTGAGATTTTTTACTGTAGGGCCCATACTCTCACCAGAGAGACAGAAAGTGAGAAATCGCCTCCCGGGGAGATGGCCAGACTGCAATCCCTTCTCTTCCATTCTCCTCTTGGGACTTTGGGCAAGCACGCGCATGCATCCAGCCTAAGTTTTAAGCCACTGGGTCTGAGATGAGAACCACAGTCAACTACGTGGGAGTCCAAGGACATAACCACTACACCAACTGTTGGTCCTGGTTATTTTCTCTTCAATATGGTATCTATGACACAGGTTTTTATACTGCCCATCATAACTGAACCATTTAGTCCACAATTCTGAGTACCTACATTGTGTCTGGCACAGTGGCTAGGCAATGCGTACGCAAAGGTAAAGTCAATCATTACCCTACCACTAGTCAAAGACTGCATTCAAACACCAACCAAGGAACCCAAAATTAGTAGGTTTTTTTTAGAGAAATTTTTGCTATAGGGCAGGTATGCTCACTAAAGAGAGAGAAAAAGTAAGAAATCACACCCTCCCCAGGGGATGGGGGGAATGGCCACACTGCAATCCTTTCTCCTCCATTCTCCTCTCAGAATTTTGGACACACAAACCTGGCGTGAGTTTCAAGTCACCAGGTCTGGGACTCAAATGGTAGTCAGCCATGTGGCAGTCCAGTACCCACCACCTGCTGGCCTCCACCCAAAAGTATTCACAACCTATAATGAGTTTAATGAAACAAATAGTATGTCAGGAAAAGTGTAACAAGAAGAGATCTACTTTTCTGAATGGCTGAGCCTCTGTGAGAGATACGTTTAAGCAAAAATAGAAAATGAGGATCTGGTCTTAGAGGGTTCAGGCAGAAAAGTGCCTTGCAAAAAATTACAATTTAGCAAATGGCTTTAAGGCAAGAGGGGGTTTGACTTGCCTAAACAACTAATCATTGCAGCTAAAACAGTGAAGTAGGGGACCTTGCAGGTCAAGGGAAAAATGTCGATTTTATCTGAAGGCCATTTTTATTTTTTTTAAAGAGGATTTTGCCGCAAGGCATATGTGCTTGCCACAGAGAGAGACAGAAACAGTGAGAGGGAAACTGAGAAACCACCCCCCTACCACCCCCAGAGGGATGGCCATGCCACAATCCCTTCTCCTCTACTGTCCTCCTGGGATCCTGGCACTCAAGCACAAGCACCCAGCATGATTTTCAAGCCACTGGGTCTGAGACTCAAATCACAGTCGACCACACAGGAGTCCAGGGATGTAAACAAAAAAAAAATTGGGCATGTCCCTTCACCAGAGACGTGTGTGTGTGTGTGTGTGTGTGTGTGTGTGTGTGTGTTGGCTGGGCTGGAGAAACTAACCCCCTAGTGCAGATGGCCACACAACAATCCCTTCTCCTCTAATCTCTCAGGATTTTGGGCAGATGCACACACACATAGCCTGGTATGATTGTCAAGCTGCCAGGTCCAGGTTTTGAACCATGTAATTGGCGACATGGGATCTAGTGCGTTAACCTCCATGCCACCTACTGGCCCCCTGAAAGTCAAATTTATCTTTGCCAATCTGGGACCTCCTTTCCATAGTTATTAGTCATTTGCATTTACTGTAGGAAATTTCTGTGCATACTTTTTGCAATTTTTGCCATTGAATTTTTAAATTTTCTGACTTATTTTTGGAAAACATTTACGTAATAAAAGTCACTGTCGTATTTGAAATGACTACCTTTCCAAATATGTGATTTTTGTTTTACTTATCTCTTAAACGCATGTGAAATTAATTTTGACATAAGGCACAGATACAACTTGACTTTTTTCTTTTCAAATAGCTACCCATTGTCCCACCAGGTCATCAGGAAAGTAACAGCACATTCTGCACAGAAAGACGTGCCGTGACTTTCCAGTCAATCCAATAGCTCCATGTACTTAGCTAGGCATGCTCAGCCACTGTCGCCCTCTCCTCTCATGTGTAAGTCTAGTCTGGTTTATCGCTTGTATTTCTCTAGTCTGCACTCTTTTTGCCTAAATCATGTAGTTTTAGCTATTATGAATTCTGATCAACCAAAGCCTCTTTTATTTTCTTTTTTCTGGAAAAAAAGTTATATTTTTAACCTCTCCTTCATTTCTTTTTATTTATTTATTTAGTTTTTAGGAGAGGTTTTTGCTATAGGGCACTGCACTTGCCAGAAAGACAGAGAGAGACAGAGACAAAAAGCAAGAAATCACCCTCCCAGGGGGATGGCCACACCGCAGTCCCTTCTCCTCCATTCTCCTCTCGGGATCCACATACACACACACCCGGCATGAGTTTAGGCCACCAAGTCTGGGACTCGAACCGTGGTCAAGTACATTGGAGTCCAGAGACAAAGCCATTACACCTGCTGCTGTTCCCTCTCTTTCATTTCTAGGATGCTATTTACTTTCTGTTTTAAAACTAGTTGGGGGGCCAGAAGGTGGCAGCGTGGTGGTTAAGTACACTAGACTCCCACATGGCTGACCACAGTTTAGAGTCCCAGGCCTGGAGGCTTGCTTTCTCACTTTCTCTCTCTCTCACTCTGTCCTCTTTGGTAAAATAAAAATAAAAATAAATAAATAAATAAAACTAACTGGAATGGAGCCAGCAGGTGGCATGGTGGTTAACGTGCTGACCTCCCACATGGCCTACTATAGTTCAAGTCCTGGACTTGGTGGCTTGAAAATAATGCAGGGCTAGTGTTCATGCATGTCCAAAATCTCGAGAGGAGAATGGAAGAGAAGGGACTGTGGTGCAGTCATCTCCCTGAGGGGTGATTTCTCCCTTTCCTCTCATTGTCTCTCTCTGGTGAGTGCATGCACCCTATGGCAAAAACCTTAAAATAAAAATACCCTCATTGGTAAGTTTTGTTATTTATCAAAAACGAGTAATAAATTAAGTGTTACAGTGACTAAGAATAAGGCTGAGAGAGAGTCCCCGTTATCTTGATAATAGAGAGCTGGCTATAAACTCTAGTAAGGCACAGCAAACTGCTTGCTCCAGTCAGCAATAAAAAATAAAAAGGCTGCTAAGAGACTGGCAGATGAAATAAGGGTTACATTGTTGGACTCCCATGTAGTCGACCGTGGTTCAAGTCCTGGACCTGATGGCTTAAAACTTGTGCCGAGCATGTGTGGGTGCCTGCCAAAATCTTGAGAGGAGAATGGAGAAGGGACTACAGCATGACCATCTCCCCCCAGAGATGATTTCTCACTTTCTGTCTCTCACTGTCTCTCTGGCAAGTGCATGCGCCCTATAGCAAAAAAATCTCTCTTAAAAAAAATTGTTGCCAAGTATGCAATTACTAAACCAAATAAAATCCTGTAAAAACAAGAATGAAGAACTCAGAAATTTAGCCACTGCACCAAAAAAAAGAACAATTTTATAACGCCTAAAAAAAAAAATTCATTAGAGAAATCATACCAAAAGGCTGTGTAGTCACAAAAATATTTATATATACCTGTCTCACTAATCGTTCTCCTTCTAGATGAGGTAGATGGTCTAGAAATCGAATTTGAAGATGAGGGTTTCTCTTCCTGTGGCTCTTGCACAGGGTCCTAAGCATCCAAGGAAAGAAAAATAAAATACAATAAATTGTATTATCAGAAAGCTAAAAATTGTTTTATATAGCCTTCTCAATTTTCAAGAAACATTCTGTTAGAATAAGAAACTTAAAGATTACCTTCTGATCACTCCCACCTTCAAGGTGACACTTGTTCTCATTCACAGATAAGCCTGTGTCTGATGATTCTGAGAAGAAAATAAAAACAAAAAATCAAACTAGACAATAAAGGGCTACATAATAGCTATCAGTCTAAACACAAAGCCCTTACACAATTCAACCTTTCAACAAACATTAAGCATGTATTTCCCAGGTGTCATCCCCATGCTAACTACTTTAGGTGTAAATAAGCATTTAACTTTAAAGCAGAAGATCTATAAAAAAGAAATTAGAGTATAAAATACATTTTTTAAAAGTATTATAAAATAAGTTAGCAGAGAGTATAAAACAATAATTATTTGGGAGGGACTGGCAAAGACCTGAGAAGCAAAGAATCAGGAACAATTTTATAATAGAACATAAAAAAGTAGGCTAGGACAGGCCATTCCAGACTGGGTGAACACCTTATAAAAACCAGTCAGAAGCAAGCTAATAGTTCTGTTGCACAGAACTGCAGGAAATTCTTTATTACTAAAATGTAGATAGCGCTGGATTGGAAAGGATCCCATGCATCTGACCAAACAGCCCAAGGATGTCAATGAGCAGCCATCATTCCCTCATTCCCTGCACTCTTCCCAGCTGATACTTCAGTATCTTCCCTCACACAGTGCTGCAGTCATTCACCAAAAAAAAGGTTTTAGTCCAACAAATAAAACTGATTTCTGGGACAGTCAGTGGCACAGTGGTTAGGACGACTAGATGGCATGCGGTCAACTGTGAGGTTCAAGTTCTGGACCCAGAAGCTTGAAAAACACACTGGGCACCTATGGGTCCATCCCAAAATCCCAAGAGGTGAATGGAGAAGGGACTGCAGCATGGTCCTGCCCTCTAGGGGGTGCCTTCTGGCTTTTTCTCTTTCTTCCACAAGCAAGCTCATGCACCCTCGAGTTAAAAAATAAAACTGATTTCTTAGTTCACAGAAAGTATTGCATTTAGAGAACAAAAATGAACACCTAAATTTAAGTAGAAGAGTGACAAAGCATTCTGGTAAAAGAAAAAGCAGAGGCAGGGAAATTAGTGTTAGAAAATGACGCCAGTAATATAAATTAAAAAACAGTAAAGCTTAACCTAAGGGATGGAATAAAAGATCGATTCCAGGGAAATTAAATAGTAAGAACCAGGTCAGTTGATAAGGGCCTAATAGTTAAGATAGCTAGCTCCCTCCTGGCCAAGTGCAGTTCAAATCCTTGAGAAGCATGCCAGGTTCATGTGCCTGTGACTGCAAATTCTGACAAGATGGAGGAATGGAGAAGAGAATGAGGCATGACCACACCCCATTAGGGGGTGCTGTCTCCCTTTCTCTCTCTGGAATGTAGACTCATCCTCTGGCAATTTAAAAAAAAAAAAAAGGCATTTTCTTAAATAAAAATAACAAGACCTGATATCTATCTATATAAAACAAGCATTCCAAAGTCTACCTTGGGTAAACAAATGAGTTTACCAAGAAAGGAACTTTTAAGAAGGTAAACAGACTTGGATGGGAAGATAAACTACGTACAAGTTATTCTGGTAGACAAGTTTAGTTTATAATTAGATGTACAGACCTGAGCTCAAAAGTCATAGTTTTAGGGAACCAGCAGTTAGCGTAATGGCTATGTTGCTGGACTCCCACGTAGTCGACCACAGTTTGCGTCCCGGACCAGGGGGCTTAAAACTCACACCGAGCACGTGTGCATGCGTGCCCAAGACCCTGAGAGGAGAATGGAGGAGAAGGGATTGCGGCATGACCATCCCCCCTGGGGGGTGATTTCTCGCTTTCTGTCTCTCTGTTTCTGTCTGTCTGGCAAGCGCACACGCCCTATAGCGAAAACCTCTCCAAAAAAAAAAAAAAAGTCATAGTTTTAGATTTGGGATATAGGTAATTACTGAAGATCATAGTTGAATACCCATTACTACCTGCTGGAAACATGTCATCTTAATAGTCGAGTAATGCCTGAGCACTGACATTTTGAAAATTAATTTTTTTCTTTATAGTAATGGATAAACCATTAAGCTGATTTTAAGCTATACATACAGATAGGTTATATTAGCAAAATAAAGATGTTACAAAACTGATGCAATAGAAAGGAAATACTGGGAACAAGCAGTTAGCATAATGGCTGTCACTGGACTCCCATGTAGTTGACTGCGGTTCGAGTCCCAGACCTGGTGGCTCAAACTCACACCAGGTGCATGTGCATGCGTGCCCAAGATCCTGAGAGAATGGAAGAGAAGGGATTGCGGCATGTCCATCCCCCGGGGGTAGGGGGAGGTGATTTCTCACTTTCTGTTCTGGAGAGGGCATGCCCCCCAAAGAAAAACCCCCCAAAAAAAAAAAAAAAAAAAAAAAGAGGAAATACTAGGCCAACAGATGGCATGGTGGTTAAGGACGCTGGACTCCCACATGGCCAACCATGGTTAGAGTCCGGACCTGGTGGTTTACTTTCTCACTTTCCCTCTCTATTTCCCACTCTGTCCCTCTCTGGTCAAATTAAAAAATATAAATAAATAATGTTAAATAAAATGATTTTTTTTTTTAAGTAAGCACCAGATATAACAAGGTTAAAAACATTAGTGTATTTGGTACGATCTAGATATCCCCCAAACTCATATTCTTAATCAAGAATGTAAGAACTTTTTTTTTTTTTCAAGAGACTTTTGCTATCAGGCATGGGTGCTCACCGAAGACACAGAAAGAAAACAAGAAATCACCCCTTAGAGGGGATAGCCACGCCACAATTTCTCCTCCTTCAATCTCCTCCTGGGATCTTGGGCATGCATGCATATGCGCCTGTCATGAGTTTCAAGTTGTTGGTCTGGGACTCAAACTGTGGTCGACCATGGGACATTGTGGGAGTCATAACCATTATGCCATCTGCTGGTCCGAAGAACTATCCTCATAATACAACTTAGTTGTATTGTAAAGGTGAAATTTAATCCCTTCATGGTGGTCTAGGGTGGGGCCTTTGTGTGTGATAAGGTCATTATAATGAGCAGAACCCCAATGACTGAGTTCTGGTGGGTTTATAAGAGGAGAAAAGAGACCAGAACAGGTAGAGATTTATGAACACCTCTGCTCAAGATCCTGCCCTCCACCATGTTGTAGCCTTACCAGAAATGGTCCTAGACCTTTTACCTCCAAACTGTGAACTATACAAACCTCTATTTTTAATGTATCACTCAGTTTCAGTGGTATCTGTTGGCAACGCAATATCAACACAATATAGATACTTTGAAATTAATTCTACTAAACTCAAACCTAAAAACAAACAAATCCACAAGTTACTATCTCATTAATATTTTCCTAGTAATCTGCCATAATTTATTTAAATAAATGAATACAGCAGGATACATACTTCAGAAAACTCAAAATACTACTACTGATAACTATAATTTGTCTTTTGCCATCATCTAATTTCACAGCTTTAAAACAATAAAATGTCAAGTCTGTAGCCTAATTGTTTTTAATTCTGGAGTAAGAGGGTGATGGCCTTTTCTGGGTTTACAATGCTAAAACTTTAGAACCGTAAGTATTTAACTCAACACATCTCAACACAGTGTTAAAAAAAACGCTGTGGTTAGAGACAGAGACCCTAAGAATATAGCTAGGGTACAGGCCCACATGGAATAAGTTTGAAGATAAAAGACCAAAAACAAAGGCTTTTTTCCAAACCCCACCACATTCCAGGAAGAAGATAAGATAACCGTTTTTATGACCCCAGGCTTGTAGACTAAGACTCTCCTGACCTTCCGACCTGCTCCAAAATTAGGAGAAATAACCAGGCCCCTCTAGCATGAGACCACCCCACCAACCACCCCACCATGAGAGCACAAGAGAACAAGCCCCGACGAAGCCTCTCCTAAGATAAAAATCCTCCACCCCAGGTCCTCCTCAGCAAACCATTTTCTGGGACCTACTCCTTGCTTGAGAGCTCCGTTCTTCTTCCCTCTCTTAACAAACTCTGCTTGCTATCCCCCGTGTCCATATCTTAATTCTTCACGAGCGTGAGACAAGAACTCCTGTCCTACTCAGGGACTGGGCCTGATCACCCCTGCACTACCCTGTTCCTCTGTCAACTGTACTATGTGCTGTAGGGTGAAAATCTGAACGGGACACAGGAAAGATAATCGGAATATGGACAAGTGGGAGCACAAGGAAATGGTCAAATTCTCCCAAGAACTTAAGTTTCTGAAAGCAGCTCTAAAATGTATTATATTTTCAAAGCTATAAGAATGTATTTTACTGGGACCAGCAATTAGCGTAATGGCTATGTCACTGAACTCCCATGTAGTCGACCACGGTTTGAGTCCCGGACTTGGTGGCTTAAAACTCACGCCAGGCATGTGTGCGTGCGTGTCCAGGATCCCGAGAGGAGCATGGAGGAGAAGGGATAGCTGTGTGGCCATCCCCCCTGGGGGGTGATTTCCCTGGGGGGTGATTTCTCGCTTTCTGTCTCTTTGTCTCTGGTGAGTGCACGCGCCCTATAGCAAAAACCTCTCCAAAAAAAGGAACTGGTGGCTTGCTTTCTCCCTTTCTCTGGTCAAATTAAAGAATAATAATAACATATGGAATTAAATAAATAAATAATTCTTAAAAAATAAAAAAAAAAAACATATTTTATTGTATTTTGGGAGGGCTGCTGGGTTGGAGCCAGCTCCTACTGAGGTAGGAAACAGGGACCCTATAAATATAGAGTACAGGTCCGAAATAAAATCACAAAATGGCTTTTTTAAGACAGAAACAAAACCACCCAGCTGCTTGCTCAGGAGAGACTTCTTGCAGCCCTGGCTCCATGAGCTAGGCAGCATGAGCTACACCTAAAATAAAGGATTTTTCCAGGCCTCACCAAATTCCAGGAAGAGGGTAAGATAATGGTTTTTACAACCCAAAGCTTCTAAACAAACACAAAAAATCTCCTGACCTTCATACCCACTCCAAACTAAAAATAACTAGACCTATCCAGCATGTCCACACCCTCCACGAGAAAAATACATTCACAGCCCCACCTAGAACAAGTCCAGACTAAACCCCTCCTGACCAAAGTAAAAACCCCTCACCTCAGTTCTTCCTTAGCAACCCATTTTCCAGGACCTCTCCCTTTTCCTTAGGAGCTCTCTTTTTCCTTCTTTCTCCTTCAATAAACGCCCCACTTTGTTATACCCACTCTGTGTCCACGTCTCTAATTCTTCCTGAGCGTAGGACAAGCACCCATGTGTCATTAGGCATGCCAGATCTGATCGCCCTGCACCCGTGTTCCTGCATTCTCCATCAGCACGTAAAAGGAGACTGTGTGCCTCTCTGTCCAGCTCCATGTTTGCGACCTAAAAGTGCCAGTGTTCACACTACGGAAATCAGCAACCACTACGAATCAGGGCTTTTCTCATGGAGAGCAGACTGCTAGGCATTTATCAGAGTACCACTGAATAAAATAATCATATGCTTATGTCCCAGAAATATGTGCATCTTTCTGGAACAATTAACTCAGTGCTTTCATCAGATAAACAAAGAGAGATGTGACCCAAAAATAACCAGTTAAGGACTACAATAGGGAAGTAAAATGCCTTTTACCTACATAAATGGTAAACAAAGCACTATTACCCAAAAAAAGGGGGAAAAAAAAAACAAACAAAAACACTCTTTCAAATGGTCCC